ATGTGCACGCATCCAGTCACAGTTGTCTTTCATCAGTAATTTCCAAAGTATTCTCTTGATACACCACTGCATGAAAAGACCGTGCCTCCTGAATTGTGTTGATGATGAAGAACAGTATCATAAAGATCTTCCAGTTTACTCATTATCACGTGCTGTCTAGACCATACACCAGCCAGTTCACAGTGGCTGTGATCCCAAGCACAGAGACCAATCCAAAGTGGACACAAAGTCCCAAGTATGAGTCACTGTGTGCCTTACGTTAAACCACTCTTCTACCTCTCTGTTGTATGTCTAAGACACTTTGCAGCATTGCATTTCTGCAATTCTAATTATTCTCTGAGCACTCCAATACAGGTTGACACTAATGAAAAACTAATTATTTCTGACTTGAACCAAACACAATTCACACCAAATAATTCCTTGGATAGGAACTGTGAGACAAGACTTCAGGAACTCTACACTGCACTTGGGCACAGACCATGTGGTCCTGTAGTGCATGGAAAGGTATACAGAAGACATGTATATTATAGATATACATATCTATATATAATATAGACATAATATGTATGTTTATATCTATAATACAAAGCAGACTGACTTTAGTTCATTTTCTGTCTTCAACTTCTCTGCACATGATAGGAGGCTCTCTCCCCCACCCCCTCCCTGGGAGGCCCAGAAGTAGTAGGGGTCCAGGTGTCACCACTAGTTATTGACAAGTGTGGCTTTAGAACACCAAGGTTGCTGGAAACCAACCTCTGAATGACAATGTTTGTATCGCTCTTGAACCTGGAAACTCAACCACCACTCCACCCCCAACCAAGGTAGCTGGGAGGCTCTTTGATGTCAGAAGCTGGGGCTTTGTAATTTTAGCTTCCTCCCTCCAGTAAGTCGGCCTTTTGCAAATAGTAAGTTTCTAAAAATACACGTATTTGATGATGGATAAGATTTTCACAATCACTATGGTCCCAAAAGAAATACAAAATACATGTGCTGCCATGGCAATGTTGTTCTTTTTATTTTTGACAACCTAGGGTTACCTGGAACCTCAATTGTGAATCTAACTTGCAGCACAAACACTGCAGCAGTTAATTATACACACTCAAGGCCATACCAAGTTTCTCTTCACTGCACCTGGCTGGTTGGCCAGAACGCCCCTGAGGACACGCAGTATTTCCTCTACTATAGGTTAGTAGCTATTTTTACTCATTCAAATGGGTTGTTTCCTCCAGCCTTATAAAACTCACGAGTGTCCCCATTTAGGTATGGCTCTTGGACGGAAGAATGCCAGGAATACAGCAAAGACTCCCTGAAGAGGAACACGGCGTGCTGGTTCCCCAGGACTTCCATCAGCGGCAAGGGGCGCGAGCAGCTGGCCGTGCGGGTGAACGGCTCCAGCCGGCTGGCCGCCATCCAGCCATTCGACCGGCTGTTCGCTCTTCACGCCATCGGTGAGGTGGACTCAACCCGGGGCTGCCATACCTCAATCGCAGCGTCTGGGCCTTGGAAGGGGTTACAACGATCCCCTGCTGACTACTTTTCTGATGCTAAGCAACCATCTGGCCTCGATGTTTGAAAACCACCAGCGTAGGGTTTCACAACCTCAGTGCTAGTGATATATTTGGCTGGGTGACCTTGTGTTATGGGGTC